AAGGAAGACCCAAGGGAGGATGCTTAAATCTCGCTTAGAAGGGGAAATAGAATAGACAGAGGTAGTGGTTGAAGAAAGGGAACAAAGTAAAAAAGGGAGCACAGAGAGAAACAGCGATGGAGATCAGATCTGGGGATAGTGGATGTGGGAGGACAGAAAAGAGAAACTGTGGGTGGGGACATCTCTGTGACAAGCTGGAGACCTAGGTCAGAATAGGCCTCTGAGAGGATATGAGGGGTCTCTAGCTGAGACTCCTAGTAGCAGGGACCATGGAGACTGAAAAGGACACTCTCTAACCAGACAACACACTTAGTGGAGGGAGGAGACTACCAACCCACCCACAAAAACCTTGATCCAAAATTTACCCTGCCTACAAGACCTGAAGGGACAAAGAGCAGATAGAGAAGAGATTAAGGGAATGTCCACCCAATGCCTGGCCCAACCCAAGACCCACCCCACGGAAGAGAGCCGACCCCAACATTTTTAACCATACTCTGCTGAGCCTGCAGACAGGAGCCTATCAGAGTTGCCCTCTGAGAGGCTCCACCCCACAGGGATTCGAAACAGATGCAGAGACTCAGGGCAAAACATTGGGAGTCTATCGGAAAAGTGGGAGGAGGGATAAAAGGACCTAGAGATGATAAGAGCTCCACAAGAAGACCAATAGAGCCAACTACAAGGGCCCAGGGGGCCCTTTGGAGTCTGAAGCACCAACCAAGGACCACGAACAGACTGGGTCTACGTCCTCTATATATTATATGTAGCTGCTGGGCAGCTCGGGCTTCATGTAGGTCCACTAGTATGCAGAATGATCAGTTGCTGACTCTATGCCCACTGCCTCAGTCTACCCTGACCTGTTGAAGCTGGTCTTCAACAGGAACTCTTTAATGTGACTGACATTTTATGCTGTGAAGTGGTAGGCTACTTGGGAATCAGGAAAGAATACCATAGTCTGAATCTCAAATGTCCCAACATCCCAAAATTTAGACACATGGTCACAGTGAGGCATTCAGAAGTGGTGGCACTTTAAGGAGTGGTGCCTTGTGGGAAGCCTTTTAGGTCCCCATGCATTCGTCTCTTAAGGTAATTAAGGAGTCTGAGCCCTTCTCATTCCCTTCTGCATCCTGGGCGTAAGACGAGTGATTTTATTCTGTTTTGTATTCTTGCCACAAGCCCCAAAACAGCAGAGTCAAGAAACCGTGGACCAGATTCTCCAAAATGATGAGCCTAAATAACCCTTTTCTGATCATCTCAAGTATCTGTTATGGTAATCGAAAGCTGTTTACACCTTGGTTTGGTGTAATCCAAGTAGATTTTTTTTTAGTGTGGATCTCTAATTTATTCCATGTTCTTATCACCATGTCTTTCTCTCTTTAAGCTCCATCCTCCAACCTCTTAAAGTAGATGCTGAAGGCAGAATTCACATTTAACAAGTTTCAAGGTGGCCAAAACTGCGACTGTCTAGGGCAGTGATTGTTAGGATTTTGGAACCAAACCTGCTTCTGGGTTGCCTAGTAACCTATGATGTCATCATGTGTTGCTGGCCAGGAGTGGTTACCTTGCCCCTTAAAGGGACCAGCTGGCCATGTGGTCCCTCTCTTGGTCTCTCTTGCTCCTGGCCTCTTCTCTCTTGGCCTCTTGGCTTTCTCCCCTTTCTTTATCGGGGCGCCTCCCTCTCTCTCTTTCTCATTATGTCCTGCTCTCCCTTCTCGCCCTCTCTCTTTATATCCACCTAATAAACCTCTTTTATATGTAAGATCTGTTGTATGCCTAATCGTTATTATTTAATATGTCCCATAACATTACAGTGATGGTTTGAATGACAGTGGCCCATACACCATTTTCAATTCTCTCTCTCTCTCTTTCTCTCTCTCATACACACACTATGCTTTGTGATTGTTGTCTCAACCTGTAAGTCCTCAGTTACCGCTCCAAGCTCCATGCTGAACGCTAGTTCTCTGGAACCATGAGCCGCAGGTTAAATGCTTTCTTTTATACATCGCCTTGGTCATGGTGTTCTGTCACAGCAATAGAAAAGTAACTGACACAACTTTCCTCAACTGAACAGGTTGAGCAAAAGCAAAAGCAAAAGTGGAGCCAAAGGCCTTTCCCCTCTCTGACCAAGGGTACAATGGAAAACTAACCAGCTTGAACTGGCAGTTTACCTACCTGTCTTCTCTGGAGCTCTAAAGTGAGAAGCATAAGCCAGTGTAGGGCAGATGGATACATTACCAGCAGCTGTTGAAAAAGGAACTGTGCTGGGGCTGGAAGAGGGAAGAGCATTTGCCTTGTGTATAGAAGGCTCTGGCTTTGATCCTGAGCACTGAAAAGAGCTGCATTTCACTTACAACAAACAAAATCAATTTTCATTGAAACTTCCGATTTGCATGTAAGAGAGAAAGGTAAACCAACATATCGCAATGTAGAAACACAATCATCACTCAACCTAGGCCTTGGGAACATTTGTCAAATGTCTACTGTGCTTATGATGTGATTACTACTCAAAACTGCCGAAAACCAAATCTAGAAATAAAACCGAGACCCAGTCCCTCATCAGTTCTGGTCATGTATCCAAGGATGGCCCACACCCGTTTTTGCCACACTTGTGTAAAATAGACATTCTCATCCTTGACTCTTAGGCCATCAAGCCACGCTCTCATCTTTACTTTGGTTTCCTAGGTACTTTGAACTCGGGGAAGAGAACCTCAGAAGATGAGTACTGTAGATGAACACTGTGGGGCTAGGGAGTTGAACAGTGGCTGAAACATTTATTACTCAAGTGTGAGAACCAGAGTTGGGATCTCCAGAACCTGCATAATGTAGTGTGATGGTCCACCTGTGTGATCCTCCCTTTCCCCGGGGAGTTGTTGGACACCAAGGGAGCATAAGCGACAGATGGGTTTCAGACAGCCTTGAGTATGATGGACAAGACTCCTGGGAGTCAGCTTCAGAGAGGCAACTCATTGTATTGTTTTAGAGGGGAGGCATATAATGGTTCTTAGAGTTATGGATGGGAAGAACTGATTGGTCATAACAGTGGCTAATTATCATATGGGCAGGAAGACATGATTGGTCATAACATAGCACCTAATTATCATTCTGGCAGGGGGAAGGAGCATGACTCTTACGCCAGGTCACCTAGCACTTGCAGGAGGCTTTGTGCAGGGTCATCCTCCATGCAAGGTCAGGCATCTGTACCGACAGATGCTCTCCTGACAAGACAAGGCAGAGAAGAGAAAGCCCCGCTGAGAAAGGGAGTCCGCCATTTTGCGCTGAGCTCAGAGCTGTCAGGACGTGGTGGACTCTGATGTCAACAGCAGGATCTTCCGACATACCTGTAAGGCTAGCACTCTCAGAGAGCAGAGACCAGGATCCCTAGCACACAGTGACTCTCCAGATAGGAGTGTCTGAGAGCTTGTCGATTTAGAAGCCTCAGTGAAAAAGGTGAGGAGCAACCAAGGAAAACTCTCCCCCGGCACCTGCACACATGACACAACAACATGAGAAAAATAATAAAAGTACAATTGTCAAACGCTTACAGAGTCTATGGTATAACTACTACTCAAAACCAGTGGGAATTAAATCTAGAAATAATAAAACACAAACCCCATCTCTGAAGTAGGCCAAGGACTGGAGAACACCTTATCTGGTCTTGCTTTTATGAAACCCAGTGCTGTGTACAATGAATAAATGCCAGAGAAAATAGAAAAAATAATGTTGACCTAGGTGTCTTCATAATCCTCAGTACAACGAATTGTGACACTTTGTTGAGTATAAGGAGATTCAACATCATTTTATAGAAGAAGATGGACAGAATTATTGATTAGCCTTTGTCACATGTTGAACAAATCATTTATTATAAAGAATATCACAATTTTATAGTTAGAATGTATGAAATGTGGCTTTAAAAATCAAGTTTCTCAGAAGACTAGAACTGAAGTATAGCATTAAATTCGCTGGGTCCAATTCACAATTAATAGCAGAGTCTTAAAGCTATTCATAATTTGTTTTTTTTACTTCATTGAAAATGAAGTAAATAGACCGGCAATTACATTGATTTTTCAGAGACGTCTTACATGAACTGTGGAAGTCCTGGGTTTTAATTCGGAAATCCTCGTCTTTTCCTTTCTAGAATCATGGGTTGAGGAGCTAGCTTCAATAACAGCAGTGCTGAGGGTCTCAGGATTGCTGGGAGGCAGGTAAAGAAAGGCGTGACTATAAACTCCTCCCCATTGCCTAGGACACTAAGGAAATGGCACCCCCTAGCCTCTCGGGTAGAATATGGAAAACTGACTAACTGCTCAGCAAACACAACCCACCCTGTGGCCTCTCTGCATTAGAGAACCACCCAGCTTCTCAGATGCTTCCTCAGTCAGGAGACTGGGACAGGAGGACTGCAAATTTGAGGCCAGCTTGGGCTACACAGCAACACCCTGTTACAAAATCAAAACACCAGCATAAATCCTCTGTGAACTCTCTGAAAGGTGGAGATCATAAAATATCCTTTAATCAGCTTCCTGCTAGAGACAAGGATCATCTGGCAGCTTATAGGAGACCCCGAGAATCAAACATTTCCCAACATTTTACCACTGCCTGGAAATGGGGTTGAGTTTGATTCCCCAAAACATGCAGAAAATCTAAGGCTTAGCTCTGACCAGCTCCTTAGGAATTATTCGGTGAGGTCATTCAGTCACCAACTCATTTTCTCTGTTAGTCCCTGTGCCCTGTGCTTCACAACTGAATCCTCACTGTCAACTGGAGGGGACAGGCTGCAGGGAATTGCAGGAGAGTTGATTGGATACCCCAGCCATGGGTTCTATATATTAAAAAAAAAAATCTATTATATTTCTATTAGAGAATGCTTCATTCTTCCTTTTAACCACTTCAAAATCCACACATACACACAAACACCTTTCCATCTTCCCCTTCATTTAGCTTCCTTGTTTCGCTCAGAGCTAGGAAGCAAAGCCTCCTGGTTCCTGCTTTTGCTTTTCCCATTTAATTGCATTTTCTTCATCTTTTCATTTCCTCCCCTGTAGCCCAGAGCTAGAAAGTAAAAATTTCTGGCCCTCAATGTTGATGCTTTTTTTCTGCTTGCGAGCCAGAGGTAAGATGGCTAATTTATACATCACGGGGAATAAAACGGTTGTGAATACTGCTGACCCCAGGCAAGTGTACAGGATCACTGGTAGATCTGGATAGTGTCCTTGAAGAATTCCAGATAATGCAGGAGTAGCCATTACTCCCAGGGCAGCACCAATCAGAATAAACGCTGCGGATTTCCCAGTTAAGGTGGTGTACTGCTCGATCCAGGAAATGCCGCTGGGAAATGTGGCTGCCATTGAGGCTCCATACACAGATGTCGCAATCCAGAGACAGAGAGGGCTTTTGTCAAAAAGCACCAGAAAGAAAGATGAGGCCAGGCTGCCAATGTTGCTCAGCACGATCATGGTTCCAGGCCGTAAGAGTGTTGCGAAGAAGATGGCCAGGCCCCTGCAGGCTGCAAAGGTGCCCCAGAAGACGGAGTTCAAGCCAGCTGCCTTGCTTTCTTCCATGCCAACGTGGGTGGTGGCAAAGGAGAATACAAAAGAGCTGTAAGTCACTTCAGCTCCCACGTAAAAGAAGAAGAAGAGGAAGAGGAGGCAGAGCAGGGCCCAGTGATATTTGGCCCTTCGAACTACCTGTGCAGATGCTGTGGCTTTTTCTTGCTTTGAACTTTTCTTAAAGAATGGAGCAAAGAGAAAGACAGAAACGACTAAAACATAGGTGCCTATGGAAGCATATGCCCACAGGAGATTCATGTCATCAGGTACCGCAAACACAGAGTCTGAGGCGGCTTCAGAGGATCGGTTCAGCATTAGAGGGTCAAAGTCAGACTTGGTGTGGTTCTGAGCAGATGCTGCTGTGCCCCAGGCCAGTTTAGCCAGCAGGGGCGCCAGAAAGGCACCCAACGCGAAACTGAAGTGCAAGGCCTGCATATAGGGGGCTCCTTTGTCCCCCCAAAGATCCAGGATGAGGACATTCCCACCTACCAGTTAAAGAAATGATTTCAGTTAAACACAGTAACTTAGCTAACAAAGTCCACCAAATGTATGAGTCTGTGTTACTTGGCAGGAAAGCGACAAATGTCCTAAATTATCGCACCTGATTCAACTCTGCAGGGAAGGATCTGTGCACATACCTGCACGTGACATTCAACACTCTGGTCAACTACTATCTCTTAGGGCCAGGCACAGTAGCAAAGGTTTTTAGAAAATATGCTCACACTTCACTAGAAAGTTTTATTTGATACACCTATTTATTTATATGTACTATATAATGTACATTTGCACATATATATATATATATACACACATTTCAGACACATTACCAATTCTTTTTTGTACTTGCAATAATAAAAATACTGTTTGTTTATGTTTAAAACAGGTACAAAATATCCATTCAGAATCCTGAATACCCCAAAGGCCCTGCTCTGCCTATTACATCATCATCATCATCATCATCATCATCATAATAATAATAATAATAGACAGTTCAGAATCTGCCCTTAAGTCTATCAGAGGACCTACCGGATGAAAAGCCCAAAACGACAATGGCTACCTCTTTTTAAAAATGATTGAAGTATTTCGTTCCACTCTGAATTTACAACCAAACAAAGCCTAAAGAATAGATAACATTGGACAGAGAAAGAAAGGATAGAAGGCTGGAATCTGGAAGTAAACAAATATCACATATGTCATTTAGTTGGTCTTCGTGTGTCTGTGGGGGAGGGGGAGGTGCCAAGGAGGGACATCACAGACTTGTGTGGACATGCAGATGCCAGAGGAAGATGTTCAGGGTCTGCTGTCATCCCACGCACCCAAACTTACTCTCACAAGACAGTGTCTCTCACTGATCTGAAAGCTTGCTATTTCGGCTAGGCTACACGGCCAGTGAGGTCTTGGATCTTCCTGAGTCACCCCCCCCCCAAGAGGTTTTCAAAGAAATCATCACCTATGCAGAAACTACTGTAGAGGGAGGTTTTTGAGAAAACAAAGAACAAAAAACAAATGCAAAGAAAGTAGAACAGAGCACAGGCCCTTGAGCGTCCCTCTTTGGATCCTGACAGCAACAATCCATACTCTTAGGAAAAATGTATTCATAGTCAGACATTTAGAAAGCTGATGCCCTAATTTACACGAAGAGAAGTTGCCAGCAGGGTGGTTCTGAGTCAGTGACTCTGCGACCAGTTCAACAGCTCTTGTCATTTCAAATCCATCCCAAGGAACAACTCAATGCCTTCTGCTCCATTTCTCTTAGCAGTAGTGTGTCCTAGTCCCAGAGATGACAATGAGTGAGCCACTAACCTGCATCCAGAATGCCAAAGGAGACACCAGTCACAGACATCATGGCCGTCAACGAGGCTGCTGTCTTACATAAAGGAGTGAGGTAAAGACCAGCCGAGATGAACAGGTTTGACAGCCCTGAGAAGACAAGGTTGAAGGTCAGCTGTAAAAAGCAGCATTCAGGAGTAATAACGTCTCCCCCAAATGCAACTAAGATCAAATTAAAGGAGGGTAACTTTGTGAAGGTGAGCCTTTTTACAAGTAGCCTTGCCCTTTGCATCTTTATAATCTTCATTGATTATAAAACACAGAAGGTTATGAAATGAATATAATTCTATCACCGCCAGCATCGAACTGTAAATCATACCATTAGGCCAAGTTTTATAACAAAAGAGGCAAAAGGGAAAAAAATTACTTAAATGTTTTTTTTATTTTTTTATTAATTACACTTTATTCATTTTGTATCCCCCCATAAGCCCCTCCTTAAATGTTTTACATTAGGAACCAAAACCAGACCCAGCAAGATCCCAATGCTGCCAAGCTTGACGACCTGCTTTAGAGTCCAGGAACCCACGTGTGAAAGTTGTCCTCTGACCTCCATGTGAGTGCTCTGGAATGTGAACAATGATTAATTGAATGTATCTTAACGACTGAAAAAAATTATTATTTTTTTCCCCAAATGAAGGGGAGTGGTCAGAGAGCTGGTTCAGGGACCGAGCACATGCCATGCAAGTATGAGGAAGAATGTTCCCTCACATAAAAGCTGGGTGGGCCTGGGGTCGCTTGTGATCCCGTAGTTTAGGACATTCCCCCAGAGCAAGCTTGGCTAGCTAGACTCCCCAAACCAGCAAGCTGTGGGTTCAGGGAGCGAGCCTGCTTCAGCCAAGAGAGTGGACAGTGATGGAGGAAGACCCAGCTGGCCTCCAGACCCACGCACACGTACCCGAACACACGTGAGCACGCATACATGGGGGAAGCAAAACAGGAACCCAGGAACCAAAAGAGACTTTTACACACAGAATGACAAAAGGAAGGGTTAGTTTAGTAGTTTGTATTTAAAGTAAGTTAGTTTGTGCGATCGGGAGGAAAATACAAAGCACACAGTCCTGGGCTGGGATTCAGATCAGCAGTAGAACAACTGCGAGGCAGGACTCTCCACAAAAACTTACGGAATTCTTCTTGTATATATGTAATTCTTATTAACAGATAAGAGTTACAAGAGGGATCCCTTGTATTCACCAGGAACAGTAGACCGTTCTGATGTGGGCTTTCCGACCGCCTCTGGGGTGTGGCCGCGAAGTCTGAGGGCGACTCACCAGCAGCAGAGACAAAACGACTCTGGGAGCCTGCGTTTGGTGAAAGCTGGCAGGATCTGGCATTGCCAAAACTTCCACCACAGGGCCAGGGAAGGTCCCAGAGGGCTCCGTGATGATTCCCTTCCATGGGGGCAACAGACTCTGGCAACCCAGTTGTTGTGGGGGAACCGCAAAACAGTCAGATGTTGATTGTCAACGTGTGCAGGCCACTGCTCACTAGGCCAAAACTACAGGCTAAATGTGCCACGGCAGGCTCAGAGACAGACGGCAAACGCGGCGGCACAGACGACGCGATGAAAATGATCGTTCGCTTACCCAAAAGTAGGAAATGATTCATGCAGTCGAAAAGCACCCCGCCGACCACAGAGCCACCCATGTAGCCGAGGGCGCGGCCCACGAACACCTCGGAGAGGCTGCTGATGTTCCGGTTCACGTTCCTTGCCAGGTCGGGAAAGGTGGGGCCCAACACGGCCGCGCTCACTCCCTGCAATCCACAAGCACAAAAGCTTTTTTTACCTACCAACCCAGCGCTATGTATCTAAACCTAGTTATAATTGTATCCAACAAGTGCTTACAAGGCAGAGAGTGACTTAGAAGCACTCTTCTAACTTTTATATTTTGTTAAAACTGAACTGTTTCTGGGGCCTGTGGGGTTCCACACATCTATGATAGACGTGAGCTGAGCTTCCTCAAACCTACACTTTCCTTCAGAGAAACCTGCAGTTGCCAGAAGCGCAGAATGACAGTCTTCCTTGCAAAACGTTACAGATGCAGGCACGGCCTGACTTTGGTCTCTAGCTGCCTCGCTGTGTAAGAAACTCTAAGCCAGCCTGTCAGCACGCTGCAACCTTCTCAGAACATGAGGCTGATCTCCCCGGCTGCTCAGTCTGAACCAAGCTGCTTCCAAGCTGCTTCCATGCCGCCAGCGCTCTAGGGTTTGGTCTACTTCCATCGACTTCAGGAGCTGTCCAACTTAGGAGCCCTCCTTCCCTCGGATAGAAAGTTTTTTAAATACTTATTTTAATGCGTGTGTGAGCACCTGAGTATCTGTGTGTGCATTCCACGTGCTCAGGGGCCAGAAGAGGGCTCAGGGTGTCCTGGAACTGGGGGAGCCGGCTGCTGTGGGTGCTGAGAAGCAAACCCAGGCCTTCGGGAGCAGCAGGTGCTCATAGCCCCCTGAGCCGTCTCTCCAGCCCCTCAGGTAACGTTTTTGCCAAATTAAAGGGTTTGGCATTAGACATGCAGTGGGAAAGAGACCTCCAGTGATGGCGCCATCCTCAAGTGGTCACACAAACGTGCCAGCACAGCAGCTGAGGTCACCACAGCCTGTCTCCTTGATTTGAGCTCTAGGGATTCAAGCTGGGGCCTCTGTGGCGCTGTAACAACTCACTAGACCGCCAACGGGAGACGGCTTTGGGAATGGGTTCCTCGGGGCAAAGGTGTCTGGGAGTCTGACTTCTGCAATAGTTGCTTGTTATCGTCACAAAGCTAAGAGCCCAGAAGCTTTGTACACGTGGGGCCTGGGACTCGAGTAAGTTAACTTTATTAAGACACCTTTACACTAGAGTGGCCAGCATGATGATGTCTTCACTCGGATGGAATTGTTCACTGGAGAGGTGCATTGGAAGAGAGTCCAGTGCCTTAAAAACCAGCACCCTGCACTCTTGAAAGCAGTGCTTCTCCGCCTTCCTGATGCTTCGGCCCTTTAGTATAGTTCCTCCAGTTATGGTGACCTCCGATCATAAAATTATTTTGGTTGCTACTTGGAAACTGAAGTCTTGCTACTGTGTTTTCCATCGGTTTTAGGGGACCCTCATGAAAAGGCCATTTGACCCCAAGGGAGTTGGGGCCCACAGACTGAGAACCAGTGGTTTTAAAGGGGCCATCGAGGCACCTAGGAGGGGCGGCCTCCTGCACAGCAATTATGGTGTTTCCATGGCTATTGCCCTCAGAAGGTATGGAGTAGCGCCACCCTCAAGGCCCCAGAGCGTCCTGGAGACACCTTGGGTGGCCCCTGCTGTGGCAGAGAGGCTCACCAGCCCGAGGAGCCAAGCCAAACGAGGCTGAGTGCTCAGTACCTCATCCCGGGAACCCACACATGCTGTCTCGGGAGGAAGGAGGATGGAGGACTGAGACAGGTCCTTTGAGCAGGGGACACAGCATCCAGGGCACCCTCCTACTGGGTCAGTGCTGAAGGACCCTCCAAGCCCCTGAGGCCATTAGGGTCATGCTTTTCCCTCTTCCTAGGTAGACCAGTGAGGTTTAAACAAATAGCAATAAAATAAATTTTAAATGAGCCAATGACCCCCGCCATGAGATCCCTTGCCAAAGGAAAAAAAACATCTGAAATATCCTTTTACATATCTACTTTTCTATTTGCTCATGATCTTGTTAACTTGTAAGAGATTTCTTCTATCTCTAGATGCTGTTGGTTTTATTTTCCAAGGCCTGGGCATCTAGAGGTGATGATTGGCAGATTCCTGAGTCTGCATCTTTGTATAACGTTCCTAGTGACTTCCTTCCTACTGTGCACTGGAGATTAAGGGAAATACATGTTAAATTATAAGTACCACAGGAAGCTAAAACTACGAGAAATAAGAAAAAAAAAAAAGGAAAAAAGGATCTCAGTATGTAGCTATCTAAGGGTGATAAGTACTAAGTACGCTTTTGGTAAAGACTACCTATGTGATATGAAGTTTTTTTTTTATTTAGGAAGATGAGGTCAGTTGTAAAATGAGAAGAAGAAAGATACAGTGAGTATATACATACATATGTGTGTGCATAAATGTGTATATGTGTGTAGGCATACAGGCATATATGTGTATATGCATATGTCTATGGAGATATATATGTATAAAGGAATGTATGCATATATAAAATAAAGATAGAGATATTTGTTGGGCTTCAGAGCTGGGACAGGCAGCTAAGATGCACCAAAGTGGACCTGACCTCCAGGTCCTCCCAGCATCCCTCCATCCCTACCTGCTGCAGGGCATGGCTGGTACACCCTGCCCTCTGAGCCTGAGCTCTCCAGCCCAGGGGCGGAGCTTCCTCTCACCAGAGGCTCTTCACTGTATAATCCAGACATTTCAGTTCCCCCTCTCTTCTTCTTTCTGAGTCTCTCTCTCTCTCTCTCTCTCTCTCTCTCTCTGCACATGCTTTTCTGTCTCCCCTTGCATGGTGGCTTCTCTGGTTCCATTCTTTGGGACCTGTGAACCCACAGAGAGCTGCTCCCAATAGACCTACATTTATATACCTTAACTTGTCTTGAATTAGCTCATTTCACTGGTGAGTTATAACATATCAGTCTTAAACTCAGACATTAAAGTATATCAAAAGTATGATGAAATAATAATAGATGCAAAATGTATTCGAGGGGCACAGGAAAGTCTATTGGAACTATGACGACATGATAAGAAATGCAAAATGACTCCGTTCTATACAGATACGTGGGTTGGTAAGATGCGTCTCAGAGGTTGTGTGAAATTCTCAGGAATACAGTGGCTGTAAGTATAACAGCAGTAGGCACAACTCTCACTGCTGCCTTTGCTCTTCTGAAGCGGGGTCCCCTGTATCCCAGGGCAGCTATAAACTCCGTCTGCAGCTGAGGACAACCCCAGAGTTCTGATTCTACCGGCCCCACCTCCTGAGTGTGATACACCTACAGGCCTTTTTGCTAGAGATCTACCTCAGGACGTGGTGTGTGCCAGGCAAGCTCTCCACCAACTGAGCCGCAACCCAGCCTCCTACTTGTTATTTTTAAGGATGACTTGTACGAAACAGACACAATCAACTTTTCTTGCCAGATGTGCTACTGTAGTACTGAACTCTCATCTGATCGACAAGCATGGCCAGCCGAAGTCTTGTCATTTGCAGCTAATTGTTTAGTCCAAAAGGACAAACATGGGAAGGACTACCAAGTCCCACTGGCCTGAGCAGGAATTCCCAGACACAGCGGCTCATAAACATCAAGCTGATGTTTAACCCAGCATCAAGCACAATAAGAATTAAGTACTCAGGAAATGACTTGGCAGATTCTCAGGCTAACCCAGTCAGTAGTAAAATCACTAAGCTGTGCAATTTGAACAGATGCCAGAGACTGGCCCAGATCCAATTACCTATCAGAACCTATTAAGTATTCGGCATTAAGGCACTAAGGCACTAAGGCCCTGAGTTTAAGAGGATGTAAATCCTTTGCTAAGCGTGGACCCATGGAGAGCTTGGATGCCTCCTGCTGCTTGCTCAGCCCTCAAAGCTTCTAGCATTAAAAGCTCTGCACTCTAACATACACCTAGTAGGGAAGAACTGAGCCAAACTATAACAAAAGAACGTTGTTGGGTATGTATTTTCACTGCAGAGGGCTTCTACTCTGCTTTTGCTTTGCCATCCCTTCATTCTAGGTAAGACAACCAGTGCTCCAAGCCCTGTGATTTTAGCAGCTTGATGAGTCAAGCACAGATAGATTTCTTTCCACCTGCCGCCCGAAGTGCTCGTTTTCTAGGTGTGCAGAGGCTGTGACGGCAGCTACAGTTAAATTAGAAGTTGTGGTTTGCCTAGCAGGATTCCTGGAGGAGTCCCTGGCCACTTGATTCATCACAGACGCAAAGGCAGCAGGAAGCCCAGTTCCTGAATTACCTGGATGGCCTCAGTCACAAGCACTTCCGAGGGATGGCAATCTGATCCACTCCCGCTGGAGAGCATAGCCTGACTCCTTAAGAGTAGTCATGTCAAGGCTTGCACCCCTAGTGACAGCACCCGGGTCCTCCTGCTCACATATAATGTGACAGGATCCAATAGGCAAAGTTTCCACACATTAATCCAAAGTATATTTTCGCTAGGACCATCCTACAAGCAGACAGCTCTCCAGGATCACAGGCTAGGATTTCCCTACCATTGGTAAGGTGTCAGTTTTAAACACACACACACACACACACACACACACACACACACACACTAGTCTTTGGATAGGCTGTGAACCACAGGTACTGTCTAAGCCCCTCCATACCCTTGGCAAGCTGACTGGAGCTGCAATATTCCAGACAATACTGCTGCTTGCTATAACAAGCCCTGAAATGACTTGTCCAGTTACTAACTAATCACGACTAAACACATGTGAGTAAAAAAGTGTGTCATGCAGCCAGGCATTGCACACACAAGACCTAGGGATTACTGTGTGTAGGAACGAACACCTGAGGGGTGTCACATTAAGTCAAACTTAATGCCATTCAGTGAGAAGCTGTACCCCTGCAGCGTGCGCCCTTAGGAAGCTTCCCGACAGCCCTTGCTTGGTGGGAAGCTTCAGAGCAAGGGAAGGAATCTGAGCCGTGTGAGTTTAATCAGTCGCCACTAGGTGGCGGATCATTTCCGCCTCAAGGGCCTTTATTGACATTGAAGCCTTGACTCAGCCTCCTTGCTGGTGTCAATCTTACTGTTTGGCGTGGCCCGAGTCTGCCTTCTGATTTGCTTTTCTGGAAGTTTCTATGTCTTCCACAATCCAAGCAGTCTATACTCTAAATGGGTACCCACCTTTGACCTTGCTAAAAATGTTAGTCTGCACTAAGGAACGTTTGTGACGGGGTTTCCGCCTATTCCATCTGTAAGCAGCGGGGTTGTGCAGAATGTGAAACAACCTGGAACTTGGGGAAAATGCAGGTCTTCTAATTGGTCAGACCTCCCATAGGTTCTGAAATTCACATACTACCGATACTTACTGAAACAAAATTTCTCTTTGAATCTCCCCCTTAGGGACTGAAGAGATTGCTCAATGATTTAGAACACCTACTCATCTTTCCCAGGACCCCAGTTCCGCTCTCAGAGCCCAGGCTGCATGGCTCACGACTGCCTGTAGCTCCCAGAGGACACACTGTGCGTTTGTGGGAGCAATCGATGGGTGTGCAAGCCTCAGGGAGGGTGGAGGGCGAGCCTGGCTGCCACAGCGCTTTCAAACGCGAGTCGTTGCTGGCTCTCCTCTAGCATCTGTTGCCAGGCTAACTACAAAAACAGATAACTCTTTAGACTGGACAATTTTACAACCGACTAGTGGCCATAATTGCCGTCACTCCCTAGACCGGTTCTCAACCCGTGGCTTGAAGGACTCTTTCACAGGGTTGTGTATCAGATATACTGCACCTTAGAAGTTTACAGTACGATTCATAACAGTAGCAAAATTGCAGTTGTGAAGCAGCAATGAAAATAAATTTGAGGGTCGCAGCATCGGGAAGGGTGAGAACCGAGCCACTGACCCAGACGAAGACGGTGAGAATTGCCTCTCTCCTTATTGTGAGAGGATTGGCGTGTTCGATCTTGATCTGTTGGGCTGAGTGTGCTCTGGCTGCTCGGTGCTATGCGCCTGATAACCATCACAGCAGTCTCCCAGCCCTGCCGGCTTCCCTTGGGCCACAGATGTTTCTGTTCAGTCATCCTTTGAAGGCGTAAAGCACTGTCCAATTCATCTGCCGTTGTCCATTATGAATTCTACAACTGGACCAAACCGACCACGACTCTGGGCTCGGAGAGTGCTGTTTGGTACCCATTTCAAACTGAGGAGCTGACCCGAAAGGAAAGTGGGATTGTCAGATCGGCCTACAGCTGCCTCTGGGGGCAGGCTCCCGGGACCCACCCGAGGACCCCAACTCCTGAAGCAGAAATGAAAGAATATTCTCACACATGTCACTGAGTCCATTAAAGATGCATTCTGCCCAAAATGTCATGAGTCGTACCCAATCACGTTATCTCCAGGCACTTTCTCGGCCTACAGGCACTGCCTGCCTGTATTTCAGAATACAGTTTTCTCAGCCTTCTCTGGCTCGGGCCCTGGCCAGTTCTCAAGTCATTTCTTTGTGCAAAAGAAACTGTTAAAAACCAAGTGTAAACTTCACTTTTCGATAGGGGCATAGAGACCCAAAGTTAACAGTTGGCTTTCCAAGGAAATTCCCTGGGCCCTTTAAGAAATGGTTTCTATTTCATCTACATTTCGAGAATGGCTGATTCTAATCGCAGCGCTCTGCTCTGAGGCAAGCAGAAGCCTTCCAGGACTAAGGACCTGGTGAGCACAAATGCCCACAAGAAATGAGTACAAGGCTCAGGGCAGTGGCTCTAACCAACGTGCGGCCTGTTTCCAGCAGGACCTGGCCCACAGAGAGAATGACCAGCGTCTGCAGTGATTTCTTTCTTGGATCTTCCACCCCCCCCCCCCCATCAGAAACCAACTCTTATTCCACCCCTGAGATTCTGGGTTACGGGAAATTACTCCGCAGGCAACTCGCTTTCCTCTCTCCAAGGTCACAGTTACCAAAGGGCAAAGGAGGTCATCACAAATGGTGCATTGAGAAGCAGCCTTGCTTTGCACTTTGCTCCAAGAAAAAAACACTTAAGGACCCAAGGCTGGACGTAAGTAGGATTATCATAGAGCGAGGCATCTTCCTGGCTTTATCACTCAACCAACTGTGCGGCCCCCGGGGAAAGTCACTTCCCACCCGGGACCTGTAGCTCAGCTGTGAAATGAAGTTGCTAGCTGGATCTGGTCAGGGTACAAGCAACTCTCAAGAAGGCATGCTGGGGACGGCCAGGACCATTGGTACATGCCAGCACAGCCCCCTCTGTCTGCCTCACACGGGAACCGAGTAAGGTTTGCTGCAGAAGAAGAACATTAGGATAATCGAGTTCACCTTTGGTTAAAATTGTACCCATTTTCCTTACGGTGAAACCGCAGCCCGGGCAGTTTCAATGGCCACACAATGGTCAAGAGCAGGTTTCCCTGGCTGGGTAGGACCCCTGCCCGAGGCCCGCGCCCCAGCCGGGAGGGGGTTACAGCCCCAGCTCTCACCATCCCCAGGAAGGCGGCGTTCAGCACCATGGTGGTGAACCAGCACAGCGCTCTTCCCCCTCGGCCGCTCAAAACCACCGGAAGCCGGTTCTTCTCTGAGGGCTCAGCCTGGAGGAGGCGCTGTCCAACAGCCGCGGCCCCGGACCCACGGGACTCCATTTCCGACTCCAGCTTGCCGGCTCCAAACAATGGGTTTTGCTGCGGCCCGGCTCTCGGCAGGGTCCCTGGCGCTCTGAGCCCCTGATCTTTCTGCTCAGAAGATCCCTTCCAGTGCCTCCTCCCCACCCCCAAGGACAGTCCTGAGTCAGGGCCTGGGGAAGTTACACTTTGGACTGTGCACGTGGTAAGGGCCTCCGACACTCGTGCCCATCTCGTCCAGCTCCTAAGAAGATCACCAGGCAGGAATTGGCCTTTCTTAGCAATCAGGGGCCCAGCTTCTTGTGGGATCGGGCTGGGTGGAATAAACATGCTCCCTTGGAAGATGCTCTAACGGCTTCATTCAGCGCCACTCTTATCCAAGCGCACACAGATGGACACACCAGCACCCTGAGGCAGAGCAAGCTGGAAGCGCTGTCTCACATCAGTCCAGTCGAGAGGCTTTGGGGCCTGTAGAAAGGGTTCAGACCTTGAGAGTTCTTGCTGATTTTTTTCTGAGGACTTGAGTTTGGTTCCCAGTCCTCATACTGGGCAGTTCATGACCTACCTGTAACTCCAGCTCCAGGGGATCCAGTACTTTTTTTCTGGCCTTCCATTTAATCCTCAACCTTTGGTCAGGACCCCAGAGATGGACTTGGGGGAAGACATCGAGCCTCTCTCTTTATTTGAACCTCTCTCTTTATTTGTTCCGCTTCCTCATGTGGCCGCCCGGAAGAAATAAACCTCAGTTCTCTGCTTTTCATCATTACCCTTTTTAGCTGAGTGGTGAGGACCTGTGACTGGGCCCAGGTTGTTGGGCTGCCGGGGCCCAGTCTCACACCCACAGTTCTGGTAACAGCATTTCTGAGTTCTGAAGAAGAGCCCCTTTCCAGACCAAGGCACCAGAGATGCAAGCCACCAGCCCTGTCGGTGCCGGGCCAGGGCTCAGGTTTTGTGGGTGGTAGACATCGCTATCATCTGAGCAACACCCCCAGCCAGAAATTCAGACTTCTAAAAAAGTGAGTGTGTCCCAGGCAGCGGTGGGGCACGCCTTTTATCCCAGCACTCCGGGGGCATAGGCAGGCAGATCTCTGTGAGTTCGAGGCCAGCCTGGTCTACAGAGTGAGTTCCAGGACAGCCAGAGCTACGTAAAGAAGCACTGTCCTAAAGGTCCCCCCAAAGTGTGTGTGTGTGTGTGTGAGAGAGAGAGAGAAGGAGAGAGACCACATGTGTGGAGGCCAGAACTACCCTATGTATTAGTTCCCACCTTCCGTCCTGGCTGAGCTCTGGTCTCTAGTTTTTACTACTGTATTCAGCAGCTAGGTGGCCCACAGCCTTCTGGGACTTCTGCTGGTCACACCTCCCATGTAAGAGAGCTGGGTTACAGGGGCATTCCATCCTGCCTAGTTGTGCAAGTGTCTGGGGAGCCACACTCAGTTTTTCACACTTGTACTACTGGCGCTTTCCCCGTGGAGCCGTGTCCCCAGCCCAAGTCACATTTCGAATAGAATAAAAGATAAATCTTGGAAAAATAAATAAACAAAACAAGCAAAAGTGGTGTACCTTGGGGAAACAAGACAGACATGATGGTAAAACAGTAGTCCAGGCTGGTCTTGAACTCACAGAGATTTATGTGCCTCTGCTTCCTGAGTCCTGGGATTAAAGGCATGGGCCACTATACTTGGCTTTTCTTGTGGTCTTTCTTGTGGCTGGCACGGGCACTGGGCACGGAAGCAATACTCCATCCTTTTGGGCCAACCAGAGAGGAACTATTTTAGCTTAGTATTTTTGGTCTAAACTTGTGATCAGCTAAGCGTTGCTGTGTGGCTGAGAGAGAACTCCGGCTGTTTCTAGGACAGAAAGGAGTAAAAACTGGCTGTGGGGTTTTTTGGGTCACTGGTTTAACCTTTCAGTTTTGAAGCCAGTTTGAAAACAAACTGTTTGTTTTCCTCAGATCACCTCAGATTTGCTAGCTCTGGGCTGAGAAGGAACTGTTAGCTCTTTCCTCTTACCACCGGATAACTGGTTTCATGGCCATTTGTGAAGCCTCTTCGCTGGTTTATCTTTAACCTGCAATGAGTCCCAGGCAGCTTTATCGTTCACTCACAGACAGCAATGGTTCATTTTTAACTCAGAACAGAAGGCCACCCAGCAGCTTAGAGATTTTCCATTCTGGTGCTTGAAAGCTGCTTCCTGGGAGGGAGAGACGGATCAGTAGCTCTTGCAGAGGTCCAGAGTTCGATTCCGGAGCCTATCCTGGTTGGCTGACGACGGGCTTCAGGGGACTGAGCTCCTCTGTTCTCCATTGGGCCCTGCACTCGTGTGCACACAGCCACACATAGACATGTGGCACAGAGTTTTCTTTTTGCTTTTTTTTTTTTTTAAGACAACGTTTCTCTGTTTAGCCTTGGCTGTCGTGGACTCACTTTGTAGACCAGGCTGGCCTCAAACTCACAGAGATCTACCTGCCTCTGTCTCCCGAGTGTTGGGATTAAAGTCATTCGCCATCACTGAGACAAATTGTTTTTAAATAATATAGATAGATAGATAGATAGATAGATAGATAGATAGATAGATAGATAGATTTTAATTAGTCTTATGTGGTTTTCTAACTTCCTCTATGCCTCATCAGGTCCAGCGGCAGAGGTCTGCAGGCAACTACATTTGGCCTAAGGCTTTTGGGGTAAATACAATACTCATAAAGGTCCATCATTCCTTGACGATTAAGAATAGGTGACTAAACAGCGATGGCTGCTGGGTCCAAAGGTCTCAGCAGCGGCTGTCCTTTGGTCTGATAGTGGCCGGGTCCCCGCTCCACTGTTTTCTGAGTGTAAACTTTCTAGATTGCAGAAGAAACAAACTATAATGTTAAGAAAACACCCTGCACCTCCCCCCCCCCTCCGACCCATGGTGACCAGAGACCAAGAACAGATAGGATCTAAGTACGGAGAAAACACTTTTTTTCTTTTTCTTTCCTTTCCTCGTGCTGGTGATGATCTCAGGACCTTGTCCCTCGGAGCCTCATCTCCAACTCCATATATTTTTTTTAGGTGGGGGTTGAGGAGAGAGGACATTCCCCACTGGTTAACATGTGTCTATTCCTCTCACATATGTGGAGGCCAGAAAGACAACGTTTTGGAGTTAGCATTTAGTCCTCTCCTTCCTGTATCCTTCTATCACCTTATACGGAGACAGCGTCTCCTGATTCTGCCCTTATGTTGCAGACACGAGCCAAGAGCTTCTGGCCAACCGATTCTCATGTCTGCCTACCATCTCACAACAGGGGAGCTAGGGTTATATGTGGGGTGCACACCGCCACATCCTTTTCCTCGAGTTCCAGGGCTCAAACTCAAAGCACCGGGTTGCACAGAAGTAAATATAGAAAAATGAAACTATTTGACAAAGCTTATTTGTAGTCACAACACTATTCATTTGATTATCTTCTGTACTTTACTGAAAACTTAAAATCATTCATAATAAGAATATGGTATAAAAGGATATACTGTATTATTTAAATTATGAAACTTCTACTTGAGCCAGCAAAATGTCTCAGCAACTAAAGACACTTGCTGTCAGATGCTGAGACTCATAGCCAAATTTTGGGAAGAGTGCAGGGAATCTTATGAAAGAAGGGGGAGATAGTAAGACCTGGAGAGGACAGGAGCTCCACAAGGAGAACAGAACCAAAAAATCTGGACACCGGGGTCTTTTCTGAGACTGATACTCCAAATAAGAACCATTTCATGGAGACAACCCAGAACCCCTGCACAGATGTAGCCCATAGAAGCTCATCGTCCAAGAGGGTTCCCTAGTAATAGGAACAGGGGCTGTCCTGGAAATGAACTCAGGGGCTGGCTCTTTGAGCAGGCTTACCAGACCACTGAGGAAGACAATGCAGCCAGTCCTGATGAGACCTGATAGACTAGGGTCAGACGGAAGGGGAGGAGAACCTCCCCTATCAGTGGTGGAGTCTGGACTTTTATGGCTACTGGTTAAACTGTCAGCCACGGAGGTAGCCAGAGACTTCAGGAATCTGTCAGCTTTTCTCCCAAACACCGTGTCTACTGGCATCCAGAGCATGAAATAGCACTCAGAGTTGCTTCACAACTCTAGTCTAGCTCTTCACTCTGTCTTATTATTACTAATCACTCTACCCCAGTTACATTCTCCCACTGAGTGTTTCAGGTCCTGTAGGTGGCCCCGAACCAGGCACTATCTCTTTTACCACTGTCAGCTAAGTGTCCTTGGGGGTGACTCTTAGGGACACATGAGAAGTCCCTCAATAGTGTTAGTCTTTTTTTCTACCAGTTGTACCACCCATGGGGACAGGTCAGTTAGGGTCTTGTCCCCTTGGCAGCACTGAGGACAGCGTCCCTTTAGTTGTCCCCTGCGGTCTCTCTGGCCTCGCTGATCAACAGGGTGGGTGATTTTAGGATGCTTTGGGAGCCTTTTAGGGGCCTTTCATTTTCCCATGAAGATTGGGTAACTGGGTGGTATAAGGAACCTGAAAGTTTGGTTGTTGAATCCCCAGGTCAGTGTCAGCAGTCGCGGCTAGGAGCTAGTGGCTTTGATTTTTACCTTAGAATAATCCTAGGTGACGCTTAGACGCCCGGCAGTTGTAGCTTGTGGGTGCACACACAGTTTTAGGCACTAAATAAACCATGGCTGCCTAAAGTCAGTTATTTATCCAGCTAGAGTTTGGGGTCGTGGTTTTGGTTTTTGGTTTCTCTGCGTAGCCCTGACTGTCCTGGAACTCACTCTATAGACAAGGCTGACCTCGAACTTGAAGATCCACCTGCCTCTGCCTCCCCAGTGCTGGGACTAAAGGTGTGCACCACTGCCCGGCTCTAACAAGGGCTCAAAGTGATCACTTAAAAGACTTTATGAGCTGGGGACATGGCTCGTTGGTTAGGAGTGCCTGTTGTTCTTGCAGAGGACCTGAATTCATTTGCTAGTACACACAGGCGGCCAGCTCACAACCACGTGTGACTTCAGCTCTAGGGCACCAATGCCATCTTCTGACATCCAACAAGCACTCGGTGCACATACCACACACA